TACTTCATCCACTCTGATTCAGTGAGCTGATTTGCTGAGTGATGACTCCTCAGGAACTTGACAGAAAGGCGAGCCAACTATGAGCTAAGCACCTTAACAGATGTTTTCGTTGTTAAAATTACTTCATGACACTAAAATTACTCATTCATAACACAAACGGCTCTCAAATGAATGTATCAATCTTATTATTTTCCCGTAAGATGGGAGTGCAGGGATTCGGGTGTTATGTGGCTTTTCCTGTTCTCTCCGTGTTTGTGTGCATTTCTGCCACTATGAACTCCCAGTTCTGTGACTCAGAGTGGGAACGAGGTCTAAAAAAAGGCAAGAGGTATCATTAGGCGGCAGGATTGTTGGCAATATTTGTTATCACAGACGTGGTGAGTTAGTGGGGTAGGCTTGGAAGGACCAGATTCACTAGCAGTTCACTCATACAACCGGAAGGAGGAAAGTGAAGACACACACAGATGAATTTACCACTGAACACCTTCCTCTAGCTTGATTCATTGCTGTCTTCTAGCTTTCTTCCTTTTATCCCCCTGGTCCCCATTGCTTTATTTTACATATGCCTTGCCCTTGTTTTCCTTTTTCATCACCTCCCCCAAACAGTTTCATTCCTGTTCACCGTCTGGAAGACTGAATCTGGGATGCAGCGGTTTTTACCCTCATTAGTTCTATGTCACTGTGACCGATGACTAAGTACCACCTGAGATCAAAAGACGCCTATTAAACCAACATGCGCCTTTTTTATGTTTGCACAATTTGCATGATTATCTGTCAGTGTGTGTATACGTGTACGTGTAGATGTGTGTGTGGGTGTGAGGGCCTGGCAATGCATGTTTTAGAATCAATGCCCATGTTTCGGTGGAGGCGGTCTCTCTCAGTGTGTGTGTCGGGGTTCCTTTCCAAAACAGTGTTTGGTTACAGCTATCTTTGGCTGTTTAGAAAATCACTGCAAACCACAGCCTGTCACGGCCTACTGGTAACATAACTGCGTGCTGTGTATCGTTATGCTACATGTGGGTGTACTTACGGGTGCAGGGCATGGATGCCGGGTCCGTTTCGGAGCGGAAGTATCCCTTGTCGCAGGCACAGGAGGTGGAGCCTTCTCTGACAGAGTAACTGTGAAGAGGACACTTGGAACAGGCGCCATCGGTGGCCAGAGCACGGTAGTAACCAATCTTACAAGCTGAAAGATAGCAAAAACACAGAGAGGAAGTCGGGTTAGGGTTGCAAATCTGGACAATATGAAATACATGTTTATGACTCAAATGCTTTTGTACTAGAGAGGAAAGTTCTGGAAGAAGCTGGGAGGCTGTAGTTCCCAAGCAGCCCACTAATAAATTAGTGGTGGTTTTAGCTGTATGCTTCTGTCCTTGCACACAGCATTTGCAGCTAAAACTCATTGGAATGTCATTGAAGGGCTTTTGCTCACAAATCAAAGTATGGAACAAAAATTTAGATCTGATTACATAGATTAAGATTAAAAGTCAGCGAAACACCAAAGTTATTACAACAGTCCACAAAATCTTTACCCACTGTATGGACTGCAATGGACCAATTACACTGCAGCAAATGCTATGGCAAGACATCCAATAGTTACTGAGATATTTTAGTCCAAACCAAAGAGGGTGAACACAGCAGAAACACCCACAGTTAATATATGCAGTCGCCTGGGGTTTGTACTCTCTGCAAACTGGAAACAAATGTGGAGAATCTGAAGGCGGTGGTCACGATTTTTAGAACTGGAAGGTTGTGTAGCTACTTTGTAGTTTTTGATCACACTTGAAAAGGCTTTGGATAAATGCTGAAATGCTGACTTTAACTAATTTAATTACGTGCCACTTTTCCATGTAATTTTGTTACATAAGTACAGTGTAAAATTTTAACTGTAACATCTAATGGAATCTAGTCAAATGAAATGGACTTGATTTGTCTACACCAAGCACATCGTCCTTAGTGATTAATTATTTGATTTTAGATATTAGTTGGAATTTACTCAAAATTATTGCATCACATTTATTGAGGATGAAGAATCTTTTTTTTAGTGTGTGTGCCAAAAAGGAATTGAATTTGCTGAAATGCAATCTTAAAAGCATCAGCAACATCTCTCTGTGTAGCTTTTTTAAAATTATGTCAGATTTACCTATATATTCATAAACGACGAATGGACTACTAGATATCACTTGGATACATTTAAAGCCCATAGAAATCGCCTCTTGTTCCCAAAGGCTAAATCAGTAGACTCGCCAGCGTGTCCCTCAACACTAGTTTCAGTAATAAGGATTATTACCTACTCACTGAACTTGAAATTTACCTGTATTTTATCCCTCTGAAGAGAAGAAGAGAGCAGTGTGGGCTTGACCAATTCCCCCCAATTAGCAACAGAGAACAACATGTTGCAGAGAGGCCCCTGTTCCTTTCACCAGTCCCCCCCCCTTCCTCTCTCTCTTTGTCTTCGTTTTTCTACTTCAGCGCTTTCTCTCTTTTCACCTTTCTCACCAGCCTGCGTTCCATTACCAGAAACAACAGAACTGGAGGAAAGGGTGCTATTTCCTCTGACCAAAAAAAAGGAGAAGATCAAATAACTACCTCTTGTCTCTCTCACAAATTTAGGCTATGCTCTGTTGGCAAGATGTGGAGCTGCAATGAAACCAGAGCCGATGGCATTTCAGACCATTTAACAAACAAATGCCACCACACTTGGCACACCGGGAGCTCTGTCACTCTCACAAGGCTGTGAGCCCGGGCCTAACACAGACACACACACACACACACACAAACACACACACACCTCACAGCCTGAAATGGTAACCTAAGTGACACTTTTCCTACTTTTGGCGACATTGCTCGCCTTTCCTTTGAGTGACAGTTTGATTGGAGGGCTCGTCTTTCAAGGAGTTTCTCCTTCCTCTATCCATTTCTGTAATGGTCGGAGAAACCTAGCAGGGTTACGTTTCAGCCCCTGAGCGCTGAACCAGAAAGACGAGGACAATAGAACAATTCTCCGAAAGGTGCGGCGCAGACAGTCGCAACACCGATTGGACCGAATAACCTGTCAGTCAGTGAGGCAGCCGTGTGCTTGGCAGTGGGTCAACAAATGGTATGGAGGCCAGAGGGCTGTGGTTTGGGTTTTGTTAGAATGAAATACTTGAGTGTCTGTCTATATTGTTATGGTGTTAAAAAAAAGAACTCCAATGAAGACAGATGGGTAAACTCATACCCAATATAAGTCAGATAATTACACACTCACAGTCTGCAGGGGTAAAGCAATCTCCCCTTTTCTTCAAAAGCTCACGCACAACCCGGATCTCAAAGTACGTTTTGAAAGGCATATGGATTTCAACACCACAGTCATAAATACATCAAGGAAACCTGCATATAGTCGAATAAACAAACTTTTGCATGAGTTACCCACACCAGAAATCAAATCAGAGCCTGTCCACGTTCACCGCACCAAGAGGGAAGCCGGGTCTTCCAACAAAAACACATATTCCGCCACCCGGCTGACACACTCGCACACACAAACAGCAGAGGAAATCCACAAACCCTCTAAAATACTGGGAAATCCCTGTCTTGGAGGAGCAATAAAGTCAGGCTATTTAGCCTGCAGACTCTCCTCCCTAGCTGCTGGATTAGCATAGCGTGGCGTTAACAGAGCCAAAGCTAGCTGCTACCTGCTGAGCCATTCTTTGCCCAGTCCCATTCCCTCAATCAGCTCTAAATCCCTGTCACTTTGCTCGCTAGCACTAAGCTAAGGGCCTCATTGACTGTAGCCCGCAGGGGTGCGTGAAGCCTCCATTTCTTTTTCTTCACAGTAGCAAAAAAAAAAAGTGAGGAGATTAGTAAGGGGGTACTTTGTCTTATCTCCCTGTCTCTAAAGGAATCTTTCAGCGCCCGGTGTCATCATTAGAAACAGGAGGACACTAGGGTTTGTGGGTTTTGTTCGAGAGGTTGTGACCGCTTCAGTCGACAAAACACAAAGTCAGGGTTTGTACATGTGCGCTGACCAGGAAAGTGTCCGGAGCTGAGAGCGGGGTCAAGCAGCTGTTTGAGAAGGTGCCCCCCACCCAACCCCCGAATCCTAAAAGCTGGTGGGAGAGTTAATTGAGTCCCATGCTTCACAGCCTTTGGGTCTGAGCCTCTTAAAAGTCTAAAGACAGTCTAAGAGCAGCCTACCTCAAACTGTGCACGGTTGATGAGGTTTTTTTTTTTTTTTTTTGCCCGTCAATTATTAAGCTGTCCCAAGCTGACCCTCACAGGCTGTCCCAGAATTCTTTGCAGAACTCCAAATCCCCCCGTTTTGCCATAGACAGGCTCTGGCATCTTCATCTGTGGTTTGAAACTCAGGATTTCAGAACTTGTGTTTGAAAATGTGATGTCAACATATCAGGGCTTGTTTATAGCAGCGACTGCCCTGCAAAGGGAATAACTGGAAGAAAAGAGAGGTTGATATCCAAGTAAAGCTGGGGGAATTTGCTTCCTATTAGGAGCCTTCGTGTGTGTGTGTGAGAGGAAAGAGACCACAATAGTGGGTGGTCCAAGAGACCGTGGCTTCAGAGAGGAATCTCCCTTAAGACTTGCTGGATTTATCACTGTCCGGACCAGCCGTGGCAAACCTATACAGACGCAAATAGAGGCGCACAGGAACACATGTGTATTGAGTTTTAATGGGATCTGAGCTGAGACGCCCTCGTCATATCCTCTCATGCAGCCCTCAAAAGTCTAACCCATTTTTTTCCCCCCACACCATCTTTTTTATACGTCTCTTTTTTTCGCTCCCGATGCTCTCTAACTCTTTTTTCCCTTAATTTTTTTTACTCTTTCTGTCTCCCGCTCTCAGAGGCTTTCTCTCAGCAAGCCTCCTTTCAGAGACAGAGAGGGGTTTGTCAGGTGCCAAATCCCTGAGCTGAGAGATCAAAGACAGACAAAGAGACTGGTGACTTACTGTTCTATTCTAGAAAGGCAAAAATGGAATCCCTCATAGACCGGGGACATCACATTCTTCCCCTTTTCTACCCCAGCAGCTCTTTCACTCATTCAATCCTCCTCTCTAGCTTTAGTCTTTTTCCCCCTTTGTCACTCTTTCCCCTGCCCCATCCCTGTTGTCTCTGAGCTAAAGCACGTTTGGAGAAAAGGAGACTGGAGTGAGTTGCAAGAGTTAATGAGTAGTTTTGTCTGTGCAGTCGGGGACTCTGCTGGCTGATTTAGTTTAATGGAGAGGGGGGGAAATGGGACCATCGATGCGTCCATCTGTAAAAAATAGGAGCACAGAAAAAGCTAACGATACAATGATAGCTACCCACAGGCGAGCCAACTACAAAAAAACACAGCTAAGTTTTCCTCCGAGTGGCAGCAACCCACACACCAGGCTTTGAACAGCGATAGATGCCGCCAAATAAATCCACATCTACCCACACACCCACCTACTGCAGCCCACCTTGAGTGACCCGCATGCTAAGCCTGATAGGCAAGCTATTCTGCAGCCTACACAACAAAGTAACCAATACACTAGGGAATGAAAGCATGAGAGCGAACTTGCACTACAATAAGCATCCGAAAACCCCGGGAATGTAACACCCAGCGCACGGCGCACAATAACCAGGCCTGCCCAGGCAGAACAATTGCCTCTCTTGTAATCAAAAAAAGGGAGAATTAAGTTCAAACTGCTGCCTTTCCCCCCGCTTTCAAAGCCGTGCTTTATCTTCTATAGGTGATGAAAACTCGGTCACTCTTTTTTAGTCATAACAGACAGTGAGCGCTCTTCAGAGGAGCGGTCGGAGGCATCCTCACAAAGCCGCTCTTTCAAAAAACCAAGCGATCGGCTTTCAGGACCTGAGGGCAAGGAGAGTCTCGCCTTCTCCTGCACCTTGAGGAGCCAACGATCTCTATTCAAACTGCCTTTCTGCCTTATCCCCCTGCCTTTGTGTGTTTTCAATCTCTTTTTTTACCCTCTCTGTGGAAGGCAAGTTGCTCAGGTGAGATTCCTGCTAAAAAAGATTACGATTCCAATAATGTTTCTCTTTATCCCCTAGCTATGGAATATACACTCACAAGCTGAACGTATATTCCCCACACGAACATGAATGTATAAAACAAAATAGCCTCCATATCGACACACCTGAGCCAGTGGCATATTATCGGGGCTAACTAGCTGCTGACCGTTAGCGTCTGTCACTGGGACAGCAG